GGAAAAGCTCACTGTATTTCCCCACAAATATATATTTTTTCTACATACCCCATCTCCCAGCCATTCGATGTGAACGGGCGGCTAAGATACCCCCAATCACAATGTCATACCTATTTACTGTTTTATTTTTAATTTTCTTCTCCAAAACATTTTGACACCAAATTTGAGCATCTACTCTCTCTTAAACTCATACCCGCAAAAAATATAGACAAAAATATTCTCGATAAAATAAAATAACCAGAACACCCCTGAAAAATTTAAGGTTATTTTAATCATTTTATTTTTCAAATATATTTTTTAATATTATTTTTAAGTGTGCCTCATTGAGATGATGACAAGTACAAAATTGTACCTTCATATGATTAGTAGAAAAAAAATTAAAAATAAAATAATCTGAAACATCAGATCTAAATCAAACAATCAATGACTCACTTATAGCGTTATGGCTTAAGCCATCACAACTACCCATTTAGATTGGATGGCTAGGAGATGGGGATGTAGGAAAAATATATATGAATAACAAAGTTATAGTAAGTTTTCCTTAAACTATTTGGAATATTTTTTAAAAAATATAAAGAATTATTACATACAATATCTAAAATATACAAAGTTTAGGTTCCAAAAATCGCCATGCTGATTTGGAATGACCCGAGTTGGCTTAGAACGGGTGTAGGGAGAACAGTCCGACTATCCCCAAGAATAAGTGCGTGGCTCTCTTGTACAAAAAATTAAAAATTGGAAACATTCATGTCTTTTTTATTTCTTTAGGAAAATCTCTTAAAGTTGTCCCAATTTGTTCTTGTTAATTTATAACAATCGTAAAGAAAATTTTCAATAAAGACCCAAAATCTATGAAATCTCAATAACAAATTTCAACTTTTTCCACATTTTGAAATCCAATCCACCTTTCTAATAGTTAATCTATCAATTTTCCACTGAAGTCTTTGAAATTTGTTCCAAAATGATCCTTTGGATCCCTCTAAAATACATGTAGTAATTTGTTGGGCCAAGTCCCTTATCTCTAGAGATCTAGAGTTGAAAATTTGAGACTTTTTATTACTTGGAATTGAAAATCCTGGATTTTTCACTCAATGTGTTGCCAAATTTATTCAAATTTGTGCCAAAACTAAACAAATTCAAATTTGTTCCAAACTGTTCTTAAGATGTTTATCTACAAGAGCCCTACCAAAATTTAATGAATCAAAACCATATCAAATCTTTTGTTGGCTATTTTTCAACCATTATCTTTCTAAAATGTTCTTATTTTAATTTGTGATTTTGATTCGAATATTATGCACAATAAAAGAAAGTTTAGAATAAAACCATTAATCTTTGATACAAGGTGATCACATTAATCTTGACTATTGGATATAAAATTGGGTGGATACAATTATTCCATAGCCAAGCTCAAACTTCAAAAGGAATTTTTTCAAACTTTGTTATACATGCCAGCTACCAAATTTCATATCAAATGGTTGTAAAGAATTGTGACCACCTTATTTCAAAAGTAAATAGTCTCATTATATACAATCCCCATAATAACAATACAAATTTGGTTTTGATTTTATCACTTGAAACTTATTTTTTTCCGTTCTTTCCTCTATTGTTACTTTTGCTTTTTTTAAATCAACCCAATCCGCCAAGCCAACTCAGACCCAAATCTGGTAGGTAGCCGGGTCACCTCGAGGGGCGGGTTTGCAAGCAACATTCTACCGATCACCTCCGTTGTCTATATAAATTTTTTGTCTGAAGGTATCACAACTTTTAATTAAACACTTTGCCCTTAATTATGGAAAAGCTTTTGTAGAGCACTCTAAACAATCAAATCGGAGCCTACCACAAAAAAGTTTACTAAAAGATGTTGTTTTGATGCCCAAATATCTTCAAATTGATCATCTGGACATAGAAAATAATGGATTTCAAGTTTTGAAAATAATATATTTTGTATTGTATTTTTTAAGCTTTAAACTTTATAAATAAAGATTAAAAATCTATTTTATGGCTATTACAAAGATTTCCAATATTGAAACCGCACCCCTTAACTAATTCTAGTTGCTTCACAAATCTTCATGTAATTTTCCACTACTATAATGCAATTGTAAAAAAATTGAAAGGACTATTATTGCCACGAAGAACTCAATAGATGGATATATAATTCAATAAAAAGGTACAATATAACACGCATCAAACATCATGATGATGGTCGTCCCTT